CCCCCCCCCGGTTCACAATATATGATTTCGAGAATTTTTTCATTATTCTACATTATATAAGTACCCAAAAAAGCTATATACATAAAAAACTGGATACCAATAGCTGTTTTGCGAAATTAAGAGCAAATTCATATCTGTTCGGTTTTTTTATACATGACACCCTGTATGTAGACCGGTAGCGCCATGGCAGCGCATCGACTTATTCCAATCTCATAATAAACACTGGGATTATCATTGGCTTGTCTGAAAAGGCGTAGTTAAGATATTTAAAGAAAATATAATGTTGTTGAGAAGGCTTTCGGGAATTTTTACACCATTGTGCTATATTCGTTCACCAAATAAAGTCTCGCGAAATATTGCCTCCGGCGAAAAAATCGCGAAATTATAAAGTACGGATAAGGTGCAACCAAAGTTTAAAACAATTCATGAAAGGAAGTTGGACAACAACGTCCTCAGTTTCTAACTTTTACATGTAACTCATTTTTATGAGTTATATATATTTTATGAGTTATATAGTTTGTCCCCTGGCTATATGTAAACAAATTTGAAAGATCAACTAAGTTTGTGTGAACGGTTAATTAACTTTAAATGTCAATAAGTCGATTTATCATTTATTAGATTAATGCTCTCAGTGGGAGAGTTGAAACATCTGCACAATATGTTGACGATGAACATCTGTGAGATGAACAGTGTCAGAGAAACGAAGCGAATTGACCACATTGAACTATAAGTAAACTGGAACGATAACTCCTATGATAAAGGCCTATGTTTGGGTGAAGCCAAATTTCGGGCGCAAAAGTATAGCCTGTTCGCAGGTATATGAATACGAAAATAAATACTGAATTTTTTACGAAGTATTATTACTAATTTAATCCTTAATTTTAACTTATTAAAGCACATTTCTGGATGTTTGGATTCCATTGTCAACCGTATCTAAGATTTTTCTACATAAATTGTATAAAATTGTCCCTGACGTTAAATTAACTCCTTTTCGAAAGTCTAAAAATTTAGAAAAACCATAAATTTTCGCGCGGTTTTTTGCCGAGTTTCGTTTCATTCGTGTCATATTTCGGCAGCTAAATGATATTTGCTTATTTTATGTGCCTTAGATAAAAGATGCATGTGTTGTCTAAGTTTTCTCTGAAATAAATATAAATGCCTTGAAAGAAGTAAAAGTAAGAATATATTAACGATTTTTAAGCTGTATTTTTCGCATCCATTTTGTAAAAAAGAACTGGGGCTACCTGCAGAAAACCCTCATAACCGGCTTCAAAGATGGCGGCGAACTTATCGTTCCAGCTTACTTATCCCCGAGCCAACGGCGCGGAGCGCCGTTCCTGGCGTCAGCCCGGGGCGAGGGTATTAATTTCGACCGGCTATTTACACCCGGAGAAAGGAAAGCATTAGCGAAATCTAAAGTTCATCAATGATCGTGGGCGCGTGACTATGGTTCATGGGTGGACCTCCTCACTGATCTCAAAAATATGGCTGTTTAATAGGAGTGGGATAAGCAAGATTTCAATTTTCAAAAGCATATATTTGGAAAATCACGTTTCACACAATGTCAATGAGCTTTGAAGTAATTTTTGTTTGAAGAAATGAGAAGAATTGATTTAGTATGGGAATCGTGAAATATAGTGCAAGTTTGCTTTGAATGTTTAATGTTTATGAATTTTGTTGCTTTTAACAAGTTCAGGCGTATTAAAAGTGCATGCAGCTTTCCTTTTCAGTCAAGCTGTAAGTTTCCTAAATTACCCTGTTTAATTTAAGAAAAAAAGGTAACTTAAATGTAAAGGAGAGCATATTAATTTGAAGACCTAACTGAAATTACTTCACAATCTGCAAAGACGACAAAAGCAGTTTAGTTTAACATTAAAATGAACGTTTCAAAACATTTTACGAAGCGATTCAGTTTAAATATTACATTAAATCAAAGCTCACAAAATCCAAAATAATATACCTACAGTACATAATTCGGAAATTCATTGTTATATAGTTAAAACCAATAATTTTTCAACTATTTATGGCGTGTTGTTAAAAAAAATATAAAATTTAAGAATTAAGATTGTCGTGTTGCCATGACAACACTGACGTAAACATGAGCCTGCGTTCAGTGTTGATCAATTACTAATAACTTCATGTAAGTCAATGTTTGGAAAAGATAGATGAGGGGTTGCTGCATGCATGTATTTCTAGTAGTTCAATGATTGACCATTGTATTGTTGAAGTAGGAATGACTCAGAGATTGGGATGGTAGTACATACGTTTCTCCGAATAAACTCTTGTTTCCACCACTGTCCTTTCAGGGTTCTTGTAAGGATACTCATCTTTTATAGAGAATTACCCATGTAATGATATTTCCCAAAATTCCGTGATAATCCGGCATGTTGCGTTGCATTCCGGCATATTCCGTGATATTCCGGCATATTCCCTCATATTCTGGAAGTCCGGGTTTCACAACGTCCTAAATTATGATGGTTCGGGAAAAATTTATGTATGTCCCTAAAAAATCGACTCCCCCGCCCCCCCCCCCTCCACCAAGGGCAACGTGATTGATTAACCCTAGCTCCCGTCGTAGCTGTGCTCCGTGATGGCGAGTTACAAGGTGGCTGCTCTATGCGGCCTTAGAAAGACTTGCACTCGATCACGTTGAGCTGTGCCCATCGGAAATCTGCTTAGCTCTCAAGTGCAAGTAAGGATAATAAGCACACACCCTACTCCTCCACTCTAATTAAACTAGGATAGAATAACACTTGCACTTGGATAACTGGGACATTCAGGATAATCATTCTTATTATTTTTGGGAAATACAATTGATTTCGCACTCGCGAAACTATATACAACAAGGTAGATTTCGTTTCGCACTATAACGTATATGGGTGCTTCGATTGAAATACTCACATTTTCATTATATGTTTTCACATTTGGGTGTATTTTTCAAAACGTCTACAGATATTTTTTCAAGATTCAATGACACTTGTTTTGAATAGGCAACTAAAAAGTGTTGTAAGTTGTTGAGAATGCTGTTTTAGCCTTACTCTGAACACTGGTAAGTATGAAGTACACATACACATTCGGCTACTCCCACATGAGAGTGGCAATTAAAACTTATTTGGAATGGAAGACGGGCCGAGGAAAAGTTATTAACAGTTGCACAATATCTTAATTAATCTAATAATGACTCCTTCCGTCTGTTTTCCAGATATTGACAACCTCACACCAGCTTCTTGTTCAGCTTTGTTAATAAAATATCCTTCAACTCGCAGTGGAATGTATTATATTAATCCTCAAGGACTAAGTTCATCGCCATTGGTTCCAGTATATTGTAACATGACTTCGAAGTATGGTGTTCCTGCCACAGAGTTGGACATGACAGTGAACGACGAACACTCGTGGACGGATATGAAGCATCAGGTTCTTACAAACGTAATATCAAATATGGTATTTCCATGCAAGATATAGTTACAATTATGAATCAGTCCACGAATTGTGAGCAGTTTATAAAATATGAGTGTCATGCAAGCGTGATTCTTACGGATGGTTGGTGGGTATCGCGTCAAGGTTCAAAGATGAATTACTGGGGTGGAGCCGCTGTCAACAGCAGAAAATGCGCATGTGGAATGACCAACACCTGTGCAGATGGGAAAGAATGTAATTGTAACGCCAATGACATGACATGGCGTGAAGATAGTGGATACCTGACAGACAAGAACACGCTTCCTGTAACTGAGCTGAGATTTGGAGATACAGGTTCTGGAAGTGAGAAAGGATACCATACACTGGGAAAACTGCGATGTTGGGGTTAGGATTAAGGGGATGGCAATCAAGTATAGCACTAAACCTGGACATTATTGCGTAAGAACACATATCTTTTTGATGTAGAAAGTAGTTATCAGACATCGCATGAACACAGACAGTGCTAATCAGGGATTTTGCGAAGTTATCAACATTGGGGGGGGGGGGGGG